TTCTAGCCAAAGCATAAGAGACTCTTAAAAACTGAGAACAAACTGAGGGTTGATGGGGGGTGGGAGGGAGGGGAGGGTGGGTGATGGGTAATGAGGAGGGCACCTTTTGGGATGAGCACTGGGTGTTGTATGGAAACCAATTTGACAATAAATTTCATATATTGAAAACAAATTGTTTCTCTCTCCATATTTTCACGTTGCAGGCTTTCCTTCTCAGGTATCTTCTGACTTTTGGTTGTCAGCTCATATATTTGTTTTTTAAAAATATTTATTTATTTTTAGGAGGGGAGAGGGGCAGAGAGAGGGAGACAGAGAATCCAAAGCAGGTTCATGCTGTCAGCGCAGAGCCTGATATGGGGCTCGAGCCCTCCAACTGTGAGATCATGACCTGGGCGGAAGTAGGATGTTTACCCCACTACGCCTCCCAGGCTCCCTGGTTGTCAGCTCATGCTTAAGAATGAATGGAATACTATGAAACTGATTGGAAACTCCAGGTGGGTGGGTGGGGCCTGTTGACTACTGGCTTCAGGGTAGAGCAGTGCTACTGGCATCTGGTAGATGGATCCTAGGAGCGCTGCTACACATCCCACAAGCACGAGACAACCCACACATATAAAAGAGTTTTACTGCCCAAAATGTCAGTAGTTTTGGCTGAAAAATCCTGAGTTATGTCTCTGGGCCATTTATTTAAAAACCTCTGATTTGGGTTTTGTTTTGTTTTGTTTTTTTTTTTTTTTTTATCTTTCTCTTGGGCTGGTCAGATTCTGCTAAAAAGAATCCACCAGTGTCCTGCCTGGGGAATTCAGATCTGATTCCCAATATTCTGGGAGTCAGGGGGCAGTCGTGAACTGGTGGTTTTAACAGAGTGCAGAGGTCACTTAATCACTCCCTTGGTCATATTGTCTCCCCATCATCAACTGTGGCCCCATCTGGACGCTCAAATGACTGACCCACCCAGGTGCCCCCAAAATGTAGACATTCTGCTGGCTTTTTCTAGTTTGCAAGTGCATGTTACCAAATGAGTTTTGATGTCAGGAGTGGTTTGGCTGGGGTTTTTTCTTTTAAAGAAATGTATGGCTACAAATATGAGGAGCTGATTTGGAGCCCACATAATCTTCAGGATGCAGTATGATAGGAGCCAGAAAAAAAAAAAAAATTTAAACCTAAACCCAAAAGAAAACAAGAATCTAAACATAATCTGCTAAAAATAAAATAGCAGTGTGGACAAATTGACTAACTGAAATTCTGTGTGAACAAAATTCGGATTTCTCCAGCTGACCAGGTCCCTCAAGCAGCTGGAAAAATGATGTTAACTCAGTGTCACTGGCTGTGGTCTCTCCCTAGAAATCTAATTTTCACTGTTGTGAAACTCTCTGAAATCCAGTGACTCCGGAGGGGACCTGGATTGTGCTCTGGCTCTCCATCCCATGCACAGATGCTGCTCTCAAGGCCATTAAAAAACATCTGCTTTGGAAGCCGAGCGGGGATATAGTCAGGCTTCCCAGGTACAATGGGTGCCCGAGATGATTCTTTCACACTTTAGCCCTAAGACTATTGTCTGCATGAAGGCAGACATTCCATTCCGTGACTGGGAAGAATTTCTAATATCAAGTAGAAAGCAGGAGTAAAGGCACATTTGCATTAAAGTCGTGCAAATAAATGCAGCCCAGAGTAACTGAAACCTGAGCCTAGAGTGACGTGACTCTTCCATTTTAATATCTAAGTGAACTACTTGTATAATGCCATGGCAACAGCATCACCTTCAATGGTTCTCCTGAAGAAAATCTTGCAGAAACACGATCCCAATACGTGAAGATTTGGCATTGATTTGATGAGCCAGTGGTCAAAGTATTTCATGTCTTACTGTGTTTCGTTGCGTACTTTTTGACTTTTGAGAAATTGCACAAATAACATTCAGCTTAGAAAAATTAGAATATATAAGCAGCCAAAGAAAACTATTCCATTCAGATATAAGCACTGCCTTGCAGTGATTTTTCTATGCCTATATACCCGACTATATTAGAGAGGGAGAGCAAAATATTTTTTTGAGACAAAGAATTAAAGGGTTTCCTCGTCATAGGTCTTCACTGAAAGAATAATGAAGAACTGTCAATCAAGAAAAAAAATTAAGCCCAGAGTGGAATGTTAGGGGGAAAATATTATGAAAAAAAAAGGTAGTCTTGTTCATAAAGGTAAGTATCAACTGTAAATACTTAATGTGGGCAAAGTCGGGATAAAAACAAATTTAAAAACAGCAACATAACACGAGTGCCATAGAAGATAACTTTAGGTTGTGTTAAGTTAAATGTGTATTAAAGGCTTAAGAGCAAACACAAATAAATGGAAATGGGATGTAAACTTTCCAGACTAGTAGAAAAAACATCAGTTCACTAGAAGTCAGTGTCTTAGTCTACTCCAGCTGCCATCACAAAATACCAGACTGGATGTTTTAAACAACAGAAATTTATTTTCTCCTAGTTCTTGGAAATCCAAGATCAAGCTGCCAGCCTATTCAGTTCCTGGCAAGGGCTCTCTTGCTGGACTGCAAATGGTCACCTTCCTGCTAACTCCTCAGACAGAGAAGAAAGAGAGAAAGCAAGCTCCCTGGTGTTTCTTCTTATAAAGGCACGAATCCCATCATGAGTGCCCCATCCTCATGACCTCATCTAAATCTAATTACTCCTAAAGGCCCCCACCCCCAAATACCATCATGCTGAGGATTAGGGCTTCAACATACAAATTTTGGGAGGACACAAACATTTAGTCTATAATTGTCAGCAAAGGAAGACAAGGACACTAAATAAATAAACCAAAATCACAGTAAATTAAAAAACAAAACACATAATTCATTGATAGAAGTATCAAAATGTGACTTATTTATTTCATGGCGTAGTATCTAGTAGCAAAAAATGAAAGAACTTGATCTACATCCATCTCCACAGATATCAATAAAAATAGATCTCATAAACAAAAAAAAAGGAAGGTGCTGGTTGATAAGTAGAAGATGGCTTCATTTGTATAAATGTTAAATACAGGAAACCACAGCCTATGTTTTCTACAGGGATATTTAGGAGATATATGAATATTTGGGAACTGTACAAAAAAAGACAGAGTCATGGATTAGAAGAACAGTTACCAATTTCAGAAGACTGAAAACAAAACAAAACAGAAACCAAAACCGGAGAAGGGGGTTGAGGAGGAATACAAAAGAACTTTTGGTTTACCTGAAAAAAACTTTAAACACCTGTATGGCAGGCCTAATGTTAAGCATTGAAAACAATACAATGACCAGGAACAGGTTTCCTGTTCTCCCAGACCTACTGGTCTGAAGGGAAGGCAGATGTTAATCAAAGAATTACAAAAATATAAATTATAACTATGGTAAGTTTAAGGTGGGCAGTGGGGGAGTGCAGGAGTAGGGAGGAAGGTAGCACTCTAAATGGAGAAGCCACCATGTGCAAAACCCTGGCAGTGGGAGTAGACATATATAAGGCAGTAGGGCTGAGGCTGGGGAAGGGGTAGGGGTTTGTGAGGTGGGGCCAGACCATTTAAGTCTTGCAGGCTGCTTTAGGGCTTGGACCTTATCTGTAAAGTAGCAGAAAGCCATTGACAGGTTTCATTTGGTAGGGGATATTAATCAGACTTGCAGTATTAAAAGATTGCAGTTGGGGCCCCTGGGTGGCTCAGCTGGTTAAGCAATTAGACTCTTGATTTTGGCTCATGTCATGATCTTGCAGTTGTGAGATCAAGCCCCAAGTTGGGGTTCCACGTTGGATGCGAAACCTGCTTAAGATTCTCTTTCTTCCTCTCTCTCCCCACCCCCCACTCACGCACACACTCTCTTTCTCTCTCTGTCAAAAAAGTATTTTTTTAAAAAAGATTGCTCTTGATCTCAATCGGAGGGGCAAGAAGAGATGTGTGGGAGTTATTGTAGCATCGGGTGAGACTGGGAGTGTGAGGAAAAGGAGGCAGAGGAGGTGAAATTCACTTCATCAGAGTCAGAAGATTTTTAGAAGAACATTCGAAAGGACAGTCTGATAGATTGGCCATGATTAGTGAGGCAGAAAGAGGTGAAAAGATGAGTCCCTGGCATCACTGTATGGACTCTTGCCACTTCAAAGAGATGAGAATAAGACCAGGCTTGGAGGTGAAGATTTTGAGTTTGCTTTTTGGACCAATTGAATTTAAAGTGCCTTTGAGACCCAAGTAGCGATTCAAGGAGGTAGTTGAATATAAATGTTTGAAATATAAAGGTGGGAGTCAATCCTTGGGGACATGGGTCAATTCACTTATGGAGACACTGTGGCATGGGAAGGTGGCCTAAGTCATTGTCCTGACAAGTTCTGTTACAGCTGGCAGGTGGAGATGAACCTGCAAAGAATATGGAAAAGCTACACGTTGGAGGCAAACCAAGAGTATAGCCAGGAAAGAAGATATTTCACCAAGAGGCAGTTGTCAGCTGTGATAAGGGTTGCAAAAATGGCTCTTTGGATTAGGCACGATGGAGGTCATCAGAAATGTTCACAAGAGCTGTGTTGGTGGAGTGAAGTGACAAACTGGAGTGGGCTGAGAAGTGAGCGGTAAGGAAAAGGAGGCAGTCCCTTTGAGGGGTCTGACTCTGAAAAAGAGAAAGAGAACAGTGACTGCAGTGGAATGTTGGGTTGAGGCAGAGTGATTTCTAATGCAAAGACCTGAATTTGTGTGTTTGCTATTAGGAAGTTGAGGGAGTTTCAGTTTCTGGCTTATCTTTTCTTTTTGAGGTTGGCAGGGGCAAGTCATGGAACACAAAGAAGAGAAGGGGAGAGCAGTAGAAGTAATTGTTTGAAGGCTTAGGGAAGAAGGTTTAAAGGGGCTACCAGTTACTAAATATGGGCTACATAGGCACTACACTAGCCTTTGCCTTATACGTGTTATCTCCTTACATAGGGGCACAACTGATCTCTCCTACGTTGTAAGGTCTTTGTTTAATTCAGCTTTTTTTTTTTTTTCTTTTTCTGTAGGAGTTTCTGTAGGAGTTCCTAGTTCAAATTCCACACTGCACACAGAGCTGGAGCTTATGAAGGGATGGCCAAGTCCTGGATGTAACTTCTGAAACCACCTAAAGCATTCTTGGGAACATGTTGGGCTGTGCGGTGTGGGGAGCAAGTAAAGTCCTGAGTGTGCAGAAGTGCATGGGACAATCTTGATAATGCATTAGGGCCACTTCTGTCTGATTGAAGTGGCCTTGAAGAAAGGGACAGGACCACGATGCAAGTTGGTGACTCCCCCGTCCTGGTCCATCCCTCCCTCCACACACACCCCATCCAAACCCTGACTTACTTGGTCCAATCTTAAGAAGGAAAGTACTGAGAGGGAAGGAAGAGACTTCATGTTTTTTCCTGATTCACTAATGATGTTGTCAAAGGCTCTGGGTGAGATACTTAATTTCTCTGTCTCCTGGTTTGCTGTCTGTGAAAGGGTGACCCCAATGCCAGGTTCCTGTGGGGACTGTGACAGACCGCATTACAAGAGAGGCTCTCTCGGATACTTGAGTCCCCACCCTTAGAGTTCAGTTTCTTCATCTGTAAAACAAAGCACTGGACTAGAAGTTCTCAGGTTCCGCCCAGCTCTCTCCTTCTGTATTCTCTCAGGGGGAGGAGGTAAAAAGGGAATGGGGGAAGAGAACTTTGAACTAAACCGGATGACAGGACTGTCTCTTCCAGAAAAGGCACAGTGCTGCGCAAACAGCATCTGTGAGGTATGCCTCAGTTCTCCTTCCAAACTTGTTTTTCCCAGGGGTTTCCTGAGGCCTCTCAAGAAGGCTCTCAAAACTGACCTGAAATATTCACAACTTGAACCATCAGGAAGGATTACTTTGATTCTGTCTGAAATCTTCCCTGCATTTGGTAAGACAGAACAAAGAAAGAAAAATAAATTACTGAAGGAAATGAATAGGATAGTATTATCTATAAAAGACAATTTGGAAACTAGATGAAGATACAAGGGGTCTGTTTTACTATTGTCACTACCTATATGGATATTTGAAAAGCCTCCTAATAAAATGGTTTCTTGAAAGAATATCTGAAAATCGGTAGTTGTAAACCAGTAATTTTCAAATGCTCTTTTTCACCATGATCCACACACACACACACACACACACACACACACACACACACACACAAAAACCCACATTTATGTTGCAACCCAGTACATAAACATATAGACTAAAACCAAGTTCCACAAAACATTATTCACACTTACCATGCACCACACCATACACAACATACTCTGATGTTTTCTATTTTCTGCCCTGCTTCTTTAAAAAAATGTTGGTTGGAACCTACTCAACTCATTTCAAGAATCATTTAATGGCTCGTGACCTACAGTTTGAAAAACACAGTTCCAAACAGTATCAACTCATTCTGGTGGGCAATTGAATACTTGCCTGCTGGCCTGGGCCAGCAGGAGAGTAATGACTATTTGGAGAGGGATTGAAACAGAATGAGCAGTTATGGATATTTGCCCAGCCTTCTTGGAAAAGCCTGACCCTGGTCTGGTGATGGGGGCATCATCAGGGCTTAGCAAAATGAGAGCGTTTCATAAGCTACCATTTCTATGTACATGGCCCACTTGCCCAACTTTTCTTACACGGGCTTATTTGCTTCTAGAATCTGTCCTGCCAACCCGCAGCCATGGCCTGCTGCTTCTTCCCCACTCGCCTCCCATTTCTGCCTTCTCAGAGGCACAAACCAGTCCTCAGGCATTTCTCCAATTTGCTGGGGATTATGAATTTATATCCTGTCCTCTCTTCCCTCTTCTCTTCCCCCCAAATGGTGACTGTCCCCCCAAGCCGAGGGTCATTAACAAAAGCAACATCTTCAAAGAGAAGGGATGAGGACATGACTGAGATTCGCTCAGTACTTAAATCCCATTGAAGTACCCAGGTCAGGCCTGGCAAGCAGGGGACAGACAGCCTGCATCTGGAAAAGAGAAGGTTTAGGGCACATTTGACTTCAATATTTAAAAACCAAGTGCCCAGCTGTTCAGTTCTTCAACAAATAGCACTAAAATACCTCCTGTAGAGGAAGGAAAGAATTTTAGGACAGAATCATTAATTCAAAGGACATCAAGAAAATAGAGAGTAGACATCATCCTGATCTACTATTTAAAAAAATAACTTTAGGGATGCAATTTTACAATGCTTTATAAACAGGTCCACCAATCCAGGAGTGTTATATGTGTGAAATGTTTACTAACTGGAAACAAATGTTTACATCGGATAAACTACCTCCTAAAAAGTCCATTTCCTCTGTTCATGCAAATGTTGCTATTTGTGCGGAGTGGAAGGGCATTTCCACTTCTCCTACCACAAAAGCTGTATTTCTTTCAATATTAAGGTTAATGAGGGCTGGGGCCCTGTAATCTACATGAGTAGGTTAATTCTCATGTGTCCTAGATAGTTGAGAGAGAAAGAGATTTAGAACTTTGGCTGAAGGGAGATGCACATACTGCCTGCAGTGAATGCATGCAAAGAAGCAAAGAACACTCTGTAGAAGGATCTCTATACCTCAGCTCCTCCATCTACAAGGCAGAGATGCTGAATGTGACCCCATCCTCCCCTGTGCATGAATGAGAAGTTCCAGTTCAAAGGTATGTGACTCAAGGTTTGATTATATCATAGTAACAATGTTTTGTCAGAGTTGCCATGACATTGCTGGTAGGACACCAATCTTGAGTGTATTTTCAGAAATGGAGATGTAGTTTGAGTTGATCTCATATCCTGTTGTCAAGGTCATGGATGGATTTGCAAGATGCCCTTAAGAAATGTCTTCAGAGCCAAAGCATAAGAGACTCTTAAAAACTGAGAACAAACTGAGGGTTGATGGGGGGTGGGAGGGAGAGGAGGGTGGGTGATGGGTATTGAGGATGGCACCTTTTGGGATGAGCACTGGGTGTTGTATGGAAACCAATTTGACAATACATTTCATATTTAAAAAAAAATTAAATAAACAAATAAAAAGAAATGTCTTCACTGACAAAGTTGAAAGCTCAAAGTTGAAAGTTACAAAACATTACAAATGAATAAGACCATTCCTACCCTTTCATTAAAAAACGATAATACATTTTGCCTAAAGGCAAAAGAATGTGACTTCTACCCAGCTTTCTCCCCTACCTGGCTACTTTTGACATTGTTGTGATGAAAAAGGGTAGGGCGAGAGAGCAAAAGAGATGAACAAGAGACTCCTATTTGTTAGACCTCACAATAAAGTCCTCACTGTTACTGTCAAATGTTTAGATGCTTCACTTTTTTTTTAAAAATTAAACTTGATAAATAGAATGATTAGGGATTCATCCGTTCTGACACTGTCTAGCTCTGTGCTAGACATGCTGTACTAGGAAATGATGGTTTAAAAAAAAGTCTAGTAGTAGAGACAGCAAAGAGGTGAGCTAACAATTTAAGTTATGATTAGTATGAAATTCAAGAATGGATAAAACTAATCTGTAATAATAGAAAGGGTTGCCTTGGATTGAGGTGGAGAGGACTGAATTTGGAGGAGCAGGAGGGAATTTGGGGCATGATGGAATGTGTGCCATATTTTGATTGGGGTAGTTGTCACTGGTTATACACATTTGTCGATGAATTGCTTGCTTAAAATGGGCATGTTTTATTGTACATACACTACACTTCAATAAAGTGAAAACAAAAATAATATAATATGTGATATGAAAGAAATGAACCAAGGGTGGAGGCAAAGGAGGAGTCTAACTGCGATGAAAGTCTCAAGAATGCTTCTCTGTGCTGTCAAGGTTCTTGGCCATGAGTGAGAAACAGGCCCATGTGGAAGGAATCCCATGAACAAAGGCCCTGACTGTTTTCCTTATTTTTCTTGCAATCGAGGACTTATATAAAGACAAGGTCATAATTTTACTCTTGACTGGGGAGTCCTTCTACATGTGGGTACACAGGAACAAGAGCTAAATGGTATGAGGTTTCTTTTTAAGGTGATGAAAATGTTCTAAAATTGACTGTGGTAATGGTTGCACTTGTCTGTGAATATACTAAAAAACAATTAAGCTGTGCACTTTAAATGACTGAATTGTATGGTATATGAATTATAACCTAAAATTAAAAAAAAAAAAAGATAATTCTATGATGAGGCAGATTTGGGTGCAAACTTTGGACACAGACTAAAGCAAAGTAACCTGGATGAAACCCTTCATTTCTACTTCCTTAGCATTCTGCTCACATGTTGAACCAACAAGATGGAACTTCAGATAGATCTTCTACTTCATTTGTAGGCCAAATAAAACCCATCCCTACCCCAGCCCCCCTGCAAAGACAAAAAAATTATCCCAAACTAGATATACTAGACATCCATTTCAGATAGTGTGACACTTTGGACACCCTGAACAATTATCCCACCTGCAATAACAAAAATCCTGTATTACATTTATTATTTTAAATGTATTATTCAGCTGGCATAAAATTGCCTCAGAGCCCTAAGGCAAAGTGAAATCCTGGGGAGTTCTGTGTCCAGAGCTGGTGAGAACAGCCAGAACAGGATGGGTTTTGCAGAGGTAACAAACGGGCTCAGGTTAACATAAAAGTTTATTTCTCATTTATGCTTTGCATCTGTAGGAGGCACTGCTCATTCTAATCCTGTGGGGACCCAAGCTGATGGAGGCTTCAATTCGTCATGTGACTATTGTAATAGATTTTCAATTCCTTGTATCATGCTTCTTTCTCTTAAGAGTTTGAATATATATTTTATATTTTATGTCCTCCCTATTAAGATTTATATTTGGAGTAAACACTCATCAAGTTCTTCCTGCTGAAACGCTCATCCCTACCAACCTACGGTTTTCTTTTTAAAAACTGGAATCCTCATACTCTATTTCAGTGATGGAGCTCCCTTTTATGTATTAACATCAAACCAGTTATTATAACACAATGGAATTGACACTAGAGTAGTGGGTATAAAGGAGACTATGGCTACCCTTTACTGTAAGATTTAAACACATTTAAAATAAGTTGCTTTAACTTGAGAGGAGGCTCAATGTGGTATGAAAAGTGCTTCCTACACTGAGAATTCAGGAAGCCAGTTTAGATTTTATGAAAAGGCCCTGTAATGTAAGGCCATGGTGATTATTAATTGAACTCTTTGAACCCTATATCCCGAAGTCATGACGTTATTTAGGTCCCTCTCTCCTTTGGCATGTGAAGCTTTACATTCTCAGCCTTTGGAGTATGTGCTGCCTAAATTGTCTAGCTGCTCTTGGACTGTTAAGTTATTCAGTAAGGATCTCTGCTCACTAGGCCATTCTGGATCCAAATGCCAGAATTCACCTTCTTTAAATATCATTCAGTGGATCACTTCACCTCTCAGAAAACACACCAGCAGAAAACACACATGCTGTCATATCAAATCCAAATTCCCACACCTGTCTTTCAATTCTTATGCACATACATACAAACACGTGTGTGCGTATAATGTGTAATATATATCACATATACTGTATATAAATAAATACATGTAAATGTAAAAATATTAATGGTAATGATTATAGAGCATTAACTAAGGTCCTACTATGTGTCAAGGTCTGAGCATGGTATCAACTTTATTCCATTTAATCTTCACAGCAACTTTGAAGGGTGGTTCTAGCGTCATCTGTGTTTTATAGGCAAGGACACTGCCCTCCTGTGTCTCCAAAACCCATGCCCTAGCCCTCATCCTACTGGGTCCCAATCAAGCGGATTGTTGCCTCCCCACCACACACTCTCTGAGTCAGGTCTCCCCACCACTTTCATGTCCCTCAAACCACTCTCTGCCCATTCAGTCTCCCTCCCGTTCTCCCAAACCCTTACCACTTTTCAAGACTCAGGGCAAATCCCATCTTTGGGTAATGCCCTCTCTCCCATGTAGGACTGGAGCTGCATTTAAATTACCTTGAAATTTTAATTTCCTTGAAAACACCTAGCCCAGCCAAGCCAGCAGTCTGGGTAGCCTCAATGGCCGCTCCCTCTTCTTGCCTGCCTCATCCAGCCCACCGCACACCCTGTCATTGCTGCTTATGAAACCCATCTTGACCCTATCTACACTTCTCACCATCTTCACAGATTCCTCCATATCCAAGACCTAGCATCTCCTGCCTGCATCAATGTAAGAGCTCCTAGGTTTATGTGCCTTCACTCTTGTTTCTCCAGTCCAGTCCTCACAAGGTACCTAGAATAAGGTTTTAAAATATGTTTTATATTTGTAAGCTTAAAACCCTTTAACATCATTCTGTTACCTTTAGAATAGAAGTCAAACTTTATCATGGTCCAGAGGCCCTGTATAATGGGTGTTATGACCACCTCTCCAGTGGCACTTAATCTACCAACCCCTTCATCCCTCATCACTTTCATCCACTAGGCTCCTCTCACTTCTTTCAACACGGTAAACTCTTCCACATCTGGGTCTTTACAGATGCTATTTCTACTGCCGACTTCTCCCATTCTTCAGAACTCAGATTTAATGTTGCCTTTACAAAGAGGCTTTCCCTTACAGTCTTACCTAACTAGAATCTTCCTCTCTACTAGAATCTCCATTCACTGCACTCTGCTATTTCCTCCTTGGGCTGAGATCAAGTTCTATCTATGTATATGTAGATTTGGACATTTATTCTTCCCCCAGCACCACCCCAACACATAAACACACTGGACCACTGAAATGTAAGCCACATGAGTATTCTGGCCATGTCTGCTTTGTCCCCAGCACTCAGTACAAAGATCCCAATAAGCATATGTTGGCTTAATCAATCAATCAAACAAACAATCAATTCTTCCAACTAGATTTAAACTATTTGACAGGATAATTTTCTTTTTCTCCTTAAAGCTCCTTTCTGAACACTGAGAATATGACAGGAACTCAACTTCTTACTAGTGGGTTGAATACGTGCTGAGAGCATGTCCTCTGCTTTCCAGCTAGCCTCAGAGATGAGATCGACGGGCTGCTGACTAGGATGGGCAACAGCCTCAAGAATCCCGACTCTGGGCTCTGCCATTTATTAACAGCATGATGTAAGGCAAATAGCCACTTAAGGTCTCAATTTTCAAAAATAAAATGGGTATAGTAGCCAATGGGCTGGATGCCTAAGATGTTAATGATTAGGATATTAAGAATATTATTTAACAATGATTGAGTGCATCCTCTGTGCCCACACTGCACTAAACCCTTCAAATATATTATCTAATCTAACAAAACAATGAAGTAGTGTCTACTATTATCCCTTACTTTCTGTTTTCAGGTTCTGAGAGTTCCTCTGTATGGTTTTAATAAACTCTCTTCCTAACCTGAAATAGTTTGAGGAAGGTTCTGTCCTTAAGGCTAGAAGAGCACTGACCACAAACTGGGGCCGAGGAACATAGAACTCAAGACCCCAGAGAAGATGAGAGAAGTCCAGTGAGGCAGGTGTATGGCATGGAACCAGGAAGCTGAGGGGCAGTGGGGTAGGAATAATCTGTCTCCCAAAGTGGCTCTCCCGCAAGGGCCCAGTTGGTAAGAAAGGGGTTAGCTGGGAGACTTGATTTGTGGAACCAAATTCTCTCCTGTCAATGTTACTTGAAACAATTGAACATCTGTTTGCCCATCTATGCTAATTTCATGGATGTAAAGTGAAAAGAGGGGAAACCAAGGCTCTTGAATGGGGGCCAGAAGAAGGGAAGGGAGGATGGTGGGAGTCAAAGAGAACAGAAGAACAGAAAGGAAATCCTCTCCACATGGCCAACAGCTCTACTCTCTGTTGATTGCTCTCACCTGTGTTCTGTGTGGGAGTACAAACACACATGCACACACATGCGCTCATGACGTAGCCTCCCCACCACAACTTCCTTTAATTTGTCTTCTAGGTCTCCAAGCAAGAGCTTTGGTTTCCTCTTTGCCTTTTTTCTTTCTCTCAAGCTTTCTATTCCTTCATTTGTCCTATTCTGATTCTTTGGCTCAAGAAAAATTCAACATCTATGGAGAACCCATTGCAATGTGATTTGAAGGGAACTTTACAACTCATTTCCTCCTCTATCCACCCCTCAAGACTGAATCTTCATAATCCATGCTAGAAAGAAAGAAAAAAAAGCAGTTGGGGAAGGGAAGTCAACTGGGTTGAAGTTCACTTGAAGCACAGTTGTCCTTGTACTGGGCACTGTGCTTGGTATCTTAGTACATGATATCACTACAGCCTCATGGTAACTCTGGGAGCATGATTTTAGCGAGCCCCTCTGTTCTGACGTTCAGAGAGGCTAAGTTATTTACTTAAAGGCAGAACCAGGATTTGAACTTCAATCTTTTTGACTGAAAGCCCTCTGCAACATCATTCCTTCAGATTAGTATAATAAAAATAATAAACAATGTCATACAGAAAACTATCGTCAAATTATAAGTGTTCTCTAGTGGGAAAATATGTTCTCTAACTTTCCCCCAGGCATATAGATTAGGTAACTGACATGCTAGCTAACGTGGTCTGTTCTCTAGGGAAATGCAAGTGAAGAAAAGGGAAGTTCATCAAGATGTGAGTGGTAGGTCTCTCTTTCAAAAATAAATAAATATTTTTTTTTTAAAAAGGGGGTTGCTCCTAGGTGGATCGGTCAGTTAAGCATCTGACTTCAGCTCAGGTCATGATTTTGTGGTAAGTTCGAGCGCCACATCGGACTCTGTGTTGACAGCTCAGAGCCTGGAGCCTGCTTTGGATTCTGTGTCTCCCTCTCTCTCTATCCCTCCCCTGCTCACACTCTGTTTCTCTCAAAAAAAAAAAAACAAAAACAAAAACAAAAACAAAAAAACAAACAAAAAAAAAAAACGTGAGTGGTAGGGAGAATGTCCTGGGTAGCCAGCATTGGGTAGAAGACACTGGAAAAGAAGTTCAAAGTGTAGATCCTAAAGTTAAAGATGTCTTGGTAAATTTCATTATTTTTTAAAATTGCTTTTAAAACTCCTACATGGTACCTGCACTCTCATCTCCTACCCTACATGATGCATACCCTGTCACTCTCCAGTAGTATTTCCAAAGCTCTTCAAGTGAACCTGTTAACCCAAGTCCTTGCTGACACTTGCCTGCAGAGTCCATTGCTCATCTACTACTAATGCCATATTTTAATTCAGCTTTACTGAAACCTTCCCTTGGGTCTGTTTCTTTCTGCTTCCCCTCCCCAACCCTGATTCTCATGGAAGCCGCAGTAAAACAATGCAGGACAATAAGCAAACAACATTGCTAAGACTCCTGCAGGCCACCCTGCTTACTTCTCACCTGACTCAGCTCTCCTTTGCCAAGCAGGGAAGAGAGCCCAGAAGCCCAACAACTGAAGAGAGCCAGTCTTGAACTCTTTATCTGCCTGGTCAGTGTTGCTTGCATCGATTGCACATCAACTGAACAACTTCTACCATCAGGCTCACTGGTGGCCAAAAGTATACTTCTACAATCTCTCCAATGCTTTTATCCTGTAGCTTCCAAATGAGAGTTTGGTTGCCATGGCAACAGCCAAGTTCCGCCAGAAGGAGAAATTCCTTGTATAATGAGCCCAGACCTTGTGAAAATAAAGGAAATCTCATCTAAAATGGAGCGGGGAAGCCCTGAAGGGGGAGCTCTCGTGCACGTACCCCTCTTTGAAGCCAGTGTAACCAGCGGGAAGGAGGATCAGAATTATTCTGGCAAGGGAGGACATTTTTCACATAGGAATTTTGTCTCCTGCATTTAAGAAAAGGAAAGAAGATCCCTCCCTGCCCCAGCAACATTGCAGTAACCCCCACTTGTAGCCAATAAGAAACCACAACCTTGAATTCTTGTTCTTCTCCCATAAACTTTTGTTCTAAGCCACGCTCCTACAATATCCTCCTAAAACCCAATAAAAGCTGACCTTCCCTTTGTCCCTTTGGACTTGCTAATGGATCACCATGGTCTGCTTGTCCCAAATTGTAATTCTTCTGTTATTTCTGAATAAAGTCGGGTTTTCTTTGCTTAAATAAAATTACTCTTTGCTCTGTTTAAAGTTAACAATCTTAAGTCGACTATCAACAACCCTTGCCAGTTTTGGCCTAAAAGACTCAACATTTCTTCACTACCTATCAGTTACTAGGAGATATTTATAGCATTTGTGTCTTGTTAATCACAAAGTGAATCTGACTTATTTCTTTTTAAAACACCTGGCAAATCTGGTCATAGAGAGATCACTGGGTTCCTGGGTCCTGGGCTATACTGGAGCCTGGAAAAAGTCTGGTCAGTCACACATACCACCATCCAAAGTTTCTCAGTCTTACCCCCCAGTTTTGTTTAAGTGAAGGCATTGCTCTTCTCAAGCCCTTCTCAGGACCTGTTATATCATATAAAACTCCCAAACTGGAAGTTGGAGCCCTCGCCCACAAACTACCATTTTTCCTTCTGCTCTAGCTCATCCAGTATTGTGTGTATGCCATTTTGTTGCCTTCTGTTGGAGAACCACCCCTCCCTTACTTAATATTGGCCAGTCCGTATGATGAAGATTGTATGACTCCGTCTTTAAGCCTGACCAGACTGAGACTTCCCTGGAAGTTTTGTCAGAAACAGATAGGGAGACACTCTTTTGTTTCAGAGGCCTGTAAGTTGGTAAACCATGAATCTTGGGCCATCAGGTCAAACATGTGGGAAAATCTTGTATTAGTCTGCTCAGGCTACTCTAACATAATAGCACTCACTGGGAGGCTTAAACAATAGAAATTAGTTTTCTCACAGTTCTGAAGTCTGGAAGTTCAAGATCTAGGTGCCAGCAGGTTGGTTTCCGGTAAGACGTCTTTACCTGGCTTGCAGACGGCTGCCTCCTTGCTGTGACCTCACCTGCCCTTTCATCTGTACATGCACACTCCTTGTACTTTCTCTTCTTATAAGAACACATGTCCTATTGTATTAGGGTTCTACCCTTATCACCTCATTTAATTTTAATTACCTCCTTAAAGGCTCTATCTCCAAACACAGTCCCATTAGGGGTTGGGGTTTCAGCATACGAATTTGGGGGGAAACAATTCAGTCCATAACAGATTCCATAGAAGAAATGGAGAGAAAAGTGACATTGTTATAGTCAACTGATGCTGCTTCTCTATTCCATTTTCTTCAGTAATTTTCCTTTTCACTGTAACTCTATTCTTTTGATTATTAAAAAAAAATTCTTTTTCTTAGTTTATTTTTGAGAGAGAGAGAGAGAGAGCAGGGGAGGGTCAAAGTGAGAGGGAGAGAGAATCCCAAACAGGCTCTGCATGCCAGGGCAGAGCCCGACGCAGCACTCAAACTCACAAACCGAGAGAGCATGACCTGATGTGGAATCAAGAATCAGACGCTTAACCGACTGAGCCATCCAAGTGCTCCATATTCTTTTGATTATTTAATCTCATTTACATAATGACCATTGCTAAGAGATGACCATTGTTAGGAAAAATGAAGAAATGGTGTTGGGGATGTTAGAAATTAACAAAATAGTCTTTTCATTATAAATTGAGAAGAAATATCATGATCTCTATAGGTTATTTACATTGCATCTTAACCAAAGACACATTCACTATAGACCTCTCAAATATTTTACACATGTGACGATAGCCTTAAAAAAACAAACTTGGGGCACCTGGGTGGCTCAGGCATTTAAGCGTTTGGCCCTAGCTCAGGGCATGATCTCACAGTTCATGAGTTCAAACCTTGCATCGGGCTCTGTGTTGACAGCTTAGAGCCTGGAGCCTGTCTTCGGATTCTGTGTCTCCCTCTCTCTTTGCCCTTCCCCTGCTCGCTCTCTCTTTCTTTCTCTCAAAAATAAATAAAACATTAAAAAAAAACTTTGTTGCCTCACTGTCTTCCTGCAGCACAATTATGAGAATATTTAGCTGTTCTAGTATCTTATACGTATCACCAAGCAAAGATGAGAAAACCTCAGAATTCAACAAGATCTATGTGCTTATCACTTATGCATATATCAGATGTTGATTCCAAAAACTTCTACTTTTAAGGAGAAAAAACAATATCTATTCCCTTTCCATTCATACATGGAAAGAACCTAGGCGATAGCGCAGCCAGTTGCCTAAAGTTGAAGTATTCATTCTATAGTCTGAGGATAAAATTCATAATACTTATGTATTAAATTTAGGAAATGAAAAAAAAAGGACACAGAGACTGGTTAAGTCATCTCCTCATATATGCCCCAATTCCATCTTCTTGGTTAATACCTAGCTTTTAAGCCAATCTATCTATGCTATGGGACACAGCTGGGGGTGGGGGGTTTGAAATGCTGCCATTTTACTTATTATTTAACGCTTAATGCAAAGAAGGACTGGGGCGCCTGGGTGGCGCAGTCGGTTAAGCGTCCGACTTCAGCCAGGTCACGATCTTGAGGTCCGGGAGTTCGAGCCCCGCGTCGGGCTCTGGGCTGATGGCTTAGAGCCTGGAGCCTGTTTCCGATTCTGTGTCTCCCTCTCTCTCTGCCCCTCCCCCGTTCATGCTCTGTCTCTCTCTGTCCCAAAAATAAAGAAACGTTGAAAAAAAAATTAAAAAAAAATGCAAAGAAGGACTTCCATTCCTCTATGCTAAACATGGAGCTCTAAACTCTGACTCCTTAAGCACAGAAAATGCGCTTTGATTCACCTTTGTGTCCCCTGAAACTACTACTGCCCAGAGTCAGGAATCAAGAGATACTTTGGGAGTGAATATTATAAAGACACAATTATGACCCTGAATAATGACATTGGCAACTTTACTAAAGATATCTGATGGGGGGGGGAGGAGGAGCCAAGATGGCGGAACAGTGTGGAAGTTTTTTGTGTGTCTCACGTCCATGAGATACAGCCAGACCAACACTAAACAATCCTGCACACCTACAAAACTGATTTGAGGATTAACGCAACAATCTGCACAACCTGAACCACAGAATTCAGCAGGTACGCGGCGCAGAGAGGTGAACTGGGGGAGAAGCTGCGGAGGGCAGGAGGTATTTTTGTGTGTGGAGAGAGGACGGTGGGGGGGGGGAGGGGGAGGGGATACGGGAAAAACAACATCCCCAAAAAAGCAGCTGGAGAGAAAGTGGAAAAGTGGAAACAGCCGTAGGGACTGAACGAGAAAGGAGAAAGGAGAGAGTTTAAATTCCATTAAGACTATAAACAGGGGGAGCATAGAGTCTTAACTCCACAGCTCAATACCTGGCAGTGCTCTGGTGAGAAAGGCGAATCCCCAGGAGCAGAGTGGAGTCCAGGGTTCTTCAGGCCACACGGGAGAGGCAGTTGCCCTGCTGGGAGGACACCTGGTAGAGGCTGTGTGGTCCCCCAAAGATAAGGCCCCAGTGGACCCAGGAGAACAACCACATTCGCTGGTGCTGGAACAAGGTCATTAAGGGTGAAGCCTGGTGCCAGATGTGTGTTGTGATTTTCCATAATCCCTGAAATTCTGATGCTACACCATCTTGCAAACTTTTTCTGGGAAGGGCTGGCACCTGGCCGCAGTCTCTGGGCATCGGCAGCAGCCCGGTCCAGCAAATGTTCCTGGGTGCGGCCAGCACCTGGCCATTGCTTGGTGAGACCCTCCTGCAGAGCGGCCTAACGGGTCAAAGCCTCAGTCCCTCAGAAGTAAGGGTCGGGGAAAAACAGCCGCATCTTAGACGAAACTCAGGAGGGAGGTGTTGCCTGGGGCTTGGTCACGGACTGTGTAAAAGCAGGGAGTGGATGGAAGCTGAAGACAAAGGACAGGTGCGCGATTGCTCGCGGAGATCAGATCTGATACAAGGTAACAGGGTGATGCCACGGGCAATGCTTCCGCGCATGCGCATACGCACCTACAAGCGCCTCAAGAATCCACCCCAGTAAGCTAAGCAGCGCCATCTAGTGGAGAACGGAGCCATTACACTAAACCCTGCCCAACTGGGCCAACCTCGCTCTTCAGGAACACAAGTCTCTCTGCCTGCTTAGTTTATGGACTATAAAGCACTTCATAGTTTGACTCCTAGGGGAAAATGAAGTAATTTCAGTTGTATTTCAGTCTGTTCGCTGGTCCATTTATTCAATTTTCTTTCCTTCTTTCTCTCTTTCTTCTTTTTTTTTTTTTGTTCCTTTTCTTGAATACATAAAGAGAAAAAATTCATTTTTATTTTAAATTTCTTTAAAAATATTGTTCTTTAATTTTTTTCTACTATATTTTTTACTTTTGTGTACATTTTTTCAAATTCTATTTTCCTTACATCATTTAATTTTAGTCTACTTCAGTGTATTCATTTTTTCAAATTTTCAAACGATTTCCTTTTTTTTTCTTTCCCATTTTTTCTCTAATCTGTCAAGCCCCTTTCAACACCCAGACCAAAACACACCTAGGATCTAGCATCATTTATTTGATTTTGTGTGTGTGTGTTTTTAATTTTTTAATTTTAATACTTTTTTAATTTTAATTTTCTTACCTCATTAATTCCTTTTCTCCCTTCAATATGATGAAATGAAGGACTTCACCCCAAAAGAAAGAGCAGGAGGAAATGACAGCCAGGGACTTAACCAACACAGATACAAGCAAGATGTCTGAACCAGAATTTATAATCATGGTAATAAGAATACGAGCTGGATGGGGCGCCTGGGTGGCGCAGTCGGTTAAGCGTCCGACTTCAGCCAGGTCACGATCTCACGGTCCGTGAGTTCGAGCCCCGCGTCGGGCTCTGGGCTGATGGCTCAGAGCCTGGAGCCTGTTTCGGATTCTGTGTCTCCCTCTCTCTCTGCCCCTCCCCCGTTCATGCTCTGTCTCTCTCTGTCCCAAAAATAAATAAACGTTGAAAAAAAAAAAAAAAAAAGAATACGAGCTGGAGTCAAAAATGGATTAGAATTGCTTTCTGTGGATATAAAAGAAGTGAAAGGTAGTCAAGATGAAATAAAAAAATGCTATAACTGAACTGCAATCTCGAATGGATGCTGCAGTGGCAAGGATGGATGAGGCAGAACAGAGAATCAGTGATATAGAGGACAAACTTATGGAGGATAATGAA